CTCTTTTTTTTTTATAATTTTATTGAGAAACAAATAGCAATGAGACAGTTTCAAATCAAATTGGTAGGACAGTTTCAATAATTAACACATTGCATTTTAAAAATAAGAATAAAGAATTATATATGTTTACACATAAGTCCAGAAATCTTTTTTTTTTTTATAATTTTATTGACAGACAAATAGCAATGAGACAGCTTCAAATCAAATTGGTAGGACAGTTCCAATAATCAACACATTGCATACTGTCTTCCTAGTGGTTATTTACTGTACAAGATGCAGACATGATATCCTATTTACAAAACCTATTAGAACAAATCTCTCTATTCATTAAGAGAATGTAACTATATATCTATCCTAACCATTTTGAATACACAGATAAAGAATGGACATTCATCTGTAGCCCCTTTTGTTTAGTTCCATCATTTGAATATTATAGGTGTGTTAACTCAGCAAAAATATTCTAAAAGTCCAGTAATTCATAATAATATTGGGTCTTCTGCTTGACTGGCAGTGTCAGAAATTGTTGACCTAGGTCCCCTACAGCTCAACATAACAGCATGACTTTTTTTTTCTTCTTCCCAGTTTTAAAATTTTATTTTATCACCTTGAACTTCTCAATGGCCCAGAGAGGGGGAAGAGGACAAAAAAACAAAAACAAAAACAAAAACCACCTCACCGGAATCAAAGCAAATGGCGATGATGGGTGAGCAGAGAAAGGAGACAAGGGTCAGTTCGCTAGCGACTCCACTCTCAGCAACGTCAAATGACAATGACAGCACTGTAGGTGGAAGCTGGGAAGGGGCAGCAAAAGGTTTCTCCCCAAGTCTCCAAGCACCACGGGTCCACTGAGACCCTTCCCCACTCCCCACCGGGACCAGGGTTGGGAGTGAGGAAAGTTCTCCCTGGGAGACTGCGTTTCCTCCTGCGGAGCTTTGAGTGCAGGGAAGGGCTGGGCCTCCTTCTGCTCTCCACAGGGGCCACCTGTATGGCAACCCCGGCCCGCAGCTGCAGAGCCCACACTCACTCACCCACACACCCCTGCGGCCAGCCCCAAGTCTCACCATGAGCCCCGGGAGTGGCCTGGGGATGCCAGGAGAGAAAAGGGAG